CAAATTTGGCTGTAACTCAGACACAGAAATTGCAAATTATTGTAACGGCTACCAATTTTGATATAAAAATGTTATCTAATTGTTACAAAATTCAGCATTTTTTGTACTCTTTCATTAAAAGAATTTAGGTCTACCTTAAAATTTGTTTACAATCATGTATAAACATAAATAGGAGAATAGATATTAGGCATAAGAGGCCCTGGAATAATTTTCTCAGGGTGATGTCAGAATAGCAAGGTGCTCCATGCTATTAGAGCTAGCTCTGCAATTGACTATGGAAGAAGCTTAAATGTATGTTTAACTAGTTAATTATTTCAACATTAGCGAACACTTAAGATGTAAGAACTATCATAGAATGTCTTATTCACTTTTCAAAAACAGTGACCAAAATTCTAGAAAGTAATTGGATTTTCAAAAGTAAATGTAGTTTTCTCCCCAATTCAGTCATGACAGGGCCAGAAGGTAATGATATATCTGCCATGATGCAACAAGCAGGCCTGTCTTCTGTCAAGGGCTGAAGTCATAAAGGAATAAGCTGTCGTTAACAAACTCTCTCCAAACACTAGAGCTGTCATTTCATTGTTTTCTTTTGCTGGCATGAGGGCTGCTGTGGTCTCATATACCTTGTCAGTTCAGTTATGTGCTAAGCTTTTAACCTTTTCTGAAATTCTTGACTTGAATAATCTTTTATAAAGTCAATACTGTAACAGCCTATATTTTCTCAAATTGATTTGCAGTTTCTCTCAAAGTTTACTTTTAAAATTTGAAATTAGCACTCTTGGTTTCAACCTCTGTTCCAGTAGTTCATGTTTCATTCAAATAGAGAAAAAAAAATTTAAATAAAAGGAAATATATTTCTCTATTCTATGGTCTATATTTAGTCACTCTAAGAGGAAAAGCCAATAATTAAAGAACTTGCTTGTCCTTTTATATTCAAATAATTTAAACTATTTTAGGAATGGTGAAGTTAAGAACCCTAACATTACTATAATTCATGAATATTTGAAAATTTTAATTAAAAAAGTAATTATCTTTTTAAATTATAAAATACCTGCTCAAAGTAAAAAAAAAAGAAAAGAAAAAAACTGAAATTGCACAGTAAAATAAGACCTCATAAGTTTCTTGCATAAATTTAGAGGAACATCAACACATATCCACATATGTGTGTAATATATGTATTTACATGTATAAATGTACATTTTAAATAATCTCATTTTTGTGCTTTCATGTGTTAACTCTTACACATCATTCCAAATACGTGAACACACACACAATTTGTTGCTTTTATTATAACAAAGTGTTCCATGATATAAATGCACAAACATTTAATTAAATAGTTGCTGTTGGTGAATATTTAGGCAGATAGAAGTTTTTGTATCATTAAAATCTGGTGTGATGGGTATCCTTACAGCACTACAGTTCTCCACTCTACCAGCTGAGCTATTGAAGGAAGCACTGGAGAGCATCCTTGCACAAATATTTTGTCTACTGCTCTTGGGAAATATAACTAAACTGCCATTTAAGAATATTGACATTAATTCTATAGTAGTTTTTTTCTTGGTTTACATTCTCAGCTTTACATTTAATTTATTAATTCTCTCTTTAGCTCTGTTTAATAGTTGTGTGACAGGATTCATTTTTGGTGATTAATCATTTCCTCATATAATTTTTAATTTCTGACTGAATTCATTCTAGACTGTAAAGTATTGCTGTTGGCAGGTTATATATTTGCTATTATATGGTGATCCAGTGGTTCCATCAGTTCAGAAATAGTTTTTACTTGAATTTACATTGCTTGAGGTTCTTATAGTAAGTAGGTTGCTAAACTCAGTCTGAAAATCTAAACTGACTTTTTGACTATTTCCCAAGGAAGACTGTTTATTTTTACCACCTGGCACCTCCAGCATAGATACTTTCTCTACCCGAAGACCGTGAGCTTATGTTCTTTAATCATAAAAACTAAGGGGACAGAAACTTCCAGGGTACTAATTATATTCAAGAGTCTTCACACTCAAAGCTGTGATGCAGACCCTGTATGGCCTTAGGCTTGTATCTCACCAACTACCCCTTAAAGAGATAAGGTATTTTTTATAACCATGCATTAACTGGTTCCTTTTATATCTTATAAAATAAGTGGGCATTAAGTATCTTTGTTATTGCTATGTTTTGGACATTATTTTATGTGTGTTTAGTAGGAGGGAAAAGTGCATATAAATTAGCTTAATCCATCATATTATATAATCCAGAGTGTATAAATTAAATTGATAATTTAGCTTAATCCATCATATTATATAATCCAGAGTGCATAAATTAAATTGATAAAGAGTTTCAATATTTAAAACTTGGACATAACAGTATGAAAATTAGGTCAGACACTGAATAATTAGCACTTGGCTATATGATATACTGTTTCTTACATCAAGTAATATATTATGCAATAAAGACTGTTAAACACTAAAAATATTAGCTGTGGTAACCTCAAAAGCACTCATGGAGCTTTATCTGCTATGTACTATTTTTCCCACATGAAACCTTAATCCATTCTTTACAATAAGGTTTGCAAGGACTGGAATACCAGTAATTTTCAAAATGTGATCTATGGAATTCCAGAGTTCAGATAAGAAACCTCAAGTGCTGTTGGGAAGGTAGTTTCAGTTTTCATCTCAGTTTCAACCAAAGTGGCTCTACAGATTATTTAAACATATTTATCTACATAAAACAGTCTCTTATAATGACCAATTTTAGGATCTTTCTTCTTATACACAAATCTGCAAGGATAGAGGAGAAATATTACCAATATTCAGTAGAGATTAATATTGACTGACCTCAAATTGTAAAAATTTACCTCAGTTGTGATATGAGAACTGACAGCATGAAAAACACAGTAGCTCCCAATCTTTCATAAACTATGGAAACTGCTCTTTACACTCAATTTTAGAAGAAAGTCCAAAAACAAACAAGATGAGACAGCTTCTCTCTCCTTATTGTTACTCTGACTGCTTCCTAAAATACCATCCTTTCCTCTGTTACCCATCTACCATCCCCCACACAGAGAAGACCTTGAAGGCCTACCAGAAAACACTTACAAAAAGGTGCCAAAAAGTAATTAAAATCATTATCAGGATTAAAAGTTTTGAATGCCCATGATGTAGAAAGCACAATAAAGCTCATTTTCGGTTTTTAGAGACTAAAGTATATAAACTAACACTTTCAAAGTAAAATATACATTAAATACCAAGTACACTGAAAACTAATGAACTCAGAAATCAACTGTTTCATCGAAAGGATTCAGAGTTGCTATAATTGAGAAAAGGAGGAAAAACCCTAGTCAATGAAATTCTATATGCAAAATGTTCCTACTTTTAAGATCAAAGAGAATATTTTAATGTTACTGACAAACTTGCTTTCTCCAGTTTAGTTTGTTCAAAGCTTCCTATATATACTTTTACCTCAAAAACTCTCGCACAAAAATAAAATATTTGAGAATAGGTAATATTCCATGACCTAGTAGCAGTGACAATAAATAACATAAAATATTTCAACAGGTACATATACCAACAGCTGATTTTCTTTAGCAAATTACATTTTCAAATATTCCTGTGGTCACCTCTGGCATGCAATGTTACTCTCAAAATACATCCACAGGATATGTTCTAACCACAGAATACAGTGCCAAAGACAAAGTTCATTTCATAGCTATCTATAACCTAAAATATGAAACAGCTTAAATATTTATTTTAGTTACTGGGACCTAAACTTTATTGAAGTTAGCAACTAATCAAAAGTAATAAGTGGGTTCTCAACATATTTAAGAAGACTGAAAAATTAGTAAAATTAACCTAAGAAATCCCACTTGTAGCATGTTAAGGGTCTCAACATCTATTAAAAAAATAATTACCTTGATATCACCATTTCAGAGCTAACTGACGATTACAATCATCATGGTATCAAAAAATACCTTTCCATTTTTAAGTACAAAATATAATGATGTAGCATAAAACAAACCTGCACAAACATATTCCTGAAACTTTTTATACAAGATGCCATTAATTTTTATACAACTTTTTATACAAGATGTCATTAATTTTTTTCCTGAAGAAATCTTTACTTAACACATAAAAGAAATCTATACTTTTCAAAGTTTGTCTATTCACTGCAGAATTAACAATGAAACAGATCTGAGGTTACCTGAGGGAGAATGTGGAGGTGGGGAGCATGAGGGGAAGGTATGGATGATGGTAAACAGTTATGAGTGCTTTGGTGGTGGTTGTGGTGTGGTGACAAATCTGAAGAGGCGTGACCCTGTACCTCTAAATCATGTAAAGTGTTGCATACCAACATAACCTCAAAAACAAAAACTGTAAAAACCAGATAGTATGCAAAAGGAAACCTATTATTAAGGTACCGCAATTCTTAGTCAAGAAAAACAATTTTACTATTACAGAAATACAATTTATAATACCAATTTCTAAAAAAGCTCTAATTCAAGTAAAAATACAGTATCAGTAAATATTACAATTAGTTTATATTATATAGCTATGTCTTAAGCTTGAAGCATTTTGTTTGTGAACTCTAAACAGTGTTTTATAGAAATAAGTAAAAAATTGCCCTTTCAATAATAAGAAATTAAAGTAGCTTATCTCTGTTAGTTTCTAATTTCATGCAGATAGAAAAGGTTTATAAAGCCATTGTAAATTTTTTTCAAAAGTATTTTCAATAATACTAATAAGTTTTGATTATTTAAGTCTTATTACATGTAATAGAAATTTTTTAGAATTGAAAATATTTACTTAAAATATATATATAAATTTTTGAATACTTAACATATCATTTTGGTTTTTGTAGTAAATGCAAAATAATGTAATTAATCCTTCATTACAAATAAAAACAACTTAAACATTGTATTTAGAGCATACTTTTGAAGAGGCATGATAAAATAATTTAAACACATGATAAAACAGCTATGCAAAGCCAAAAAGTATAAAGAAAATTGCACTTACATCCATAGCTCTTTTAATAAAAGGTATCTGTGTGCCACTGTCCAGGTCTTCATTTATAATAAGCCTTCTAGCCCACTGACCTGCCCTGACAACACCACTACCATGAATTAAAACCATCAGTTTCTGTGGATTTGTCAAAGCATCCTCACTCATAAAGATAAAACTCTTTGGTTCACTTTCAGTGGCATCTACCTGTAATTAAAAAAATTAAATAATAAATAAATGTTTCCTTATCAGGCACAGAAAAATGAGAAAACAATGATTACTATAACTTATAAAATGGCTACTACAGAATTATAAAAGAAAAAACCTTAAAATATTCATTAGAGATTAATAATTGCAATTAGGTGGATGAGCAAAAAAGACATACAGTTACGAAAAGTGAAAATTCCTCCTAATATTATTGTATATTCAGTGTTTTGTATTACTAGATACTATCCTAATGTTTTAAAAGTATTATTTCAATCACAATCACATCAAGGGGGTACTATTGCTATACTCATTTATAAATTGAAGCTTATAGAGTTTATTTTTTATAAAGATTCATTTATTTATTTATGCATACAGAACTGGGGTATAGGCCAGAGGTGTAGGGGGTTAGAAGATTCACCAGAGACAGAGTAGGAAGCAGAGCAGAAGCCTACAGAGTTTAAATGACTTGCCAAGGTCACTGCAATTAATCTGTAATTCTATAACATAAGTACATTGAACCTCTAATAAAGAACAGAAAAGCCCAATTTGAGAATTCACCTGCTAGAAAAATCATATATTAACCAGTAATATTATTAAACTTTAAAGGAAGCAGAGAGAACTACTTAAAAATTCAAACACCTACTGCTCTGTATAGATGAACTTTGAAATTTCAAAATGTGAATACAGCATTGTATAACAATTATTTTATGAAACAACTTGTATTCTCAAGTTGTGAAAAGTAAATATTTTATTTATTTTGATTGTCCTTTGGTTTAAATTAGATTGTACATGAATTAGATTATAAAAACTAAAAATAGTGTTTAGGAAGTGTAAGTTCCTAACCTTTTATTCCATATGCCATAGCATGTACTTGGTGCTCTTCCATTCAGTAATTATCAGTAACCAGCAATGGAAGCCTTTGTATAACCAGATCAGAAAGTGAAGTCATGATGGCTGATGAATATACACAGGCTCAATTAGAGAGGGCCAGTGAGCAAACTGGCAAATACAAGAGCTCCTCACTTCATTGACAGTATCTAGTCACACAATTAGCAAACTAAAAAATGGAAATTCTAGATACACAAAAAAAAAAGCCCTGGATTTTACATGTTCTCAATCACTATTGCTAGCAAGAGAATAAAAATAAGAGTTCATTACTAAAATAAATGTAAAAAACACAGAATAGTATTAGTTATAGATGCTTATTAGCTATCTGTATAAGCAGAACATGAAAAAATAATTATTTTAGAAAGAAGAACAAGACTTCAGGAGCTTAAAAAAACAAAACCTTAAATGAAGACTCACTTACAATTGCAAACACCTCCCCCAAAAACTTCCTAGTAAATTTTTCTGTTTGGTTTCTTCATATTACATATAGCAATCTCATATGCTTTATTTTATATGTATGTATGTCTGTTTATTAGCCATCCACTCCTTTCACTAGACAGTAGGTCCAGAAAGGCAGACCTTTTAGTTTATATCCAGCTACATTCTTAATTCCTAAAAGAGAGGCTGGCACATTGTAGGTGCTTTCTAAATGAAAATGAACATCTGGATTGAGAAACCTTGTCAAGCATTATTAGTGAACTCTTTTAGATTAATATGTCATCCTAACTGGTTCTAATATTTGCCTGGTTCAGAAAGCATATATTGAAGAGTAACTGATGTAGGGCTATAAAGAATTTTAACAGAGGTATACAATGCTAAAAATAAATAACATTAATTGTATTTTAATTAGCAATAGTTAAGTACACAGGCAGACAGGTATAATGTTTAATAAACATTAGCTTCATTTGCACACAATGTCTAGGATAGCAAATTAAATAAGCAAATTATGGTGATGCCAATGGGTATGACTGAAGTCACAAAGGATGAGAAACAGGAAATCTAAATCTAAAAAGAAAAATTTCCTTTTACTGATGATCATGATATGAAAAGTAGTTAAAGTGGCTAAAAATGATATAAAAAAAAAAATACCAAGTGAAATAGTCAGCATATAATAGAAAGAGACCACAGTGGTTTCCAGTCATTTATTTACCAAAGAGTACAAACAAAAGTGCCCAAGAAAGTCAGTGAGGTATTGACGGACACTGGGGTAACTATGGAAAAGGGTATATAGTCATCTTACTTAAAAGAGATATTTTAGTAAATGCTGTTTATTGTTTCCTTTTTCTATTTCACTAGGCCCCCTGTTAACAAGGAGCTGAGTGGTTTTTTTCTTTACTTTTTTTTTTAGCAGTGAAACAATGACATTTTAAATTCCAGGATAATCAATTTAAAACTGAGTTATTTTTAGAAAATAAATTTTTTTTTTTAAAGATTTATTTATTTGTGCATACAGAACTGGGGTATAGGCCAGAGGCCTCTCACCAGAGGCTTCACCAGAGACACAGTGGGGAACAGAACAGGCAGATCAACGAAGTACACTGCTGAGGGGAGCAGCGGGCGGGTCAGGAGAGGTCTGCCACGCCATGTGGTCACCTCCAGGGAAGGCGGGAATCGAACTCATGCGGAGGATGCTTTAAATTCTCAGTGCTGTGCTTTAACCCGCTGTGCCACCAGGGAGGGCCGAAAATAAAAATATTTTTATACTAAAATGCTATTTAAGATTTTTTACAGCTACATATTAAAATACTTGAACATATGAATAAATTTTTTATTTGAATATCCAAAAACGTTGACCTTGAAAATATGAAAACCACACTACTCAAGGAAAAACAATAAAAATAAGTAATGTGGTGTTATTATTATGGTAGAAGCAGTATTTGAGCTAGTCATTGGTTCATATTCAATCTCAATTTAACACAGAATTATGACTACGGTTGGTAACTATAACTTAGTCTGCATAAAGTCAGAGCTAATTTTAAAGAGTAAAATAATTATAAGAAAAAATAAATTTTCCTTCTTTATTTAAGTTTGGAAATAGCAGAGAAAGCATGCACTATACAAAAAAAGAAGAATTATGTACAATATATATAAACTTAAATTATAAAAATAAAGTTTGGAAATTGCTATTCTAAGTCCCTTACCTTTAAACAACAGTAACTTATTAAGTTGCATTTTCATAAAGGAATACATACAAAAGTAATTCCAGTGTATCATCTCACTTTACTGACAAATCAATTTCATCAAACAACTTTTAACAGCTCATTTTGGTACACTGGTGAATCCTACTAATTGTGATGTTTAAACTAAACATGTCACCAGGAACTAATGAAAAATTAAAGCCAAATTATTAGGCCATTTCATATACCCACTATTCTATACAAGACCGAGAATACAAACAAACTGTTTTGTTTGTGCCTAATTTATATAAGGAAGAGAGTAAACATGAGACATCATCTCAATTCTTACCAACAGGCATTCCAAAAAATACTGTCATTTCAAAAAAGAAAGAAAATAAAGCATAGTTTATCATCAGAAAAATAAAACTGACTATGATGGAAGAGTTACGTAACCTTGGTGGTGAGTACGTTTTGGTAACATACATTTGAATATGTGTGCACCTATACCTCTGAGTCATATACTGTGTTGTATGCCAATGTTTCACTACTGTATTTTTTGGTGTTGGAATTACTTTATTTAGGCTGATGTTCTTTTAGCTTCCTAGATTTGTACATTTATTCCTTTCTCTAAGTTGGGATATTTTCCACCATTTTTTCCTCTAAATATGTTTTCTGTTCTTTTTTCTCTCTGGTATTCCCATTATTTTCATGTTGCCTTTTTTCATAGAGTTGGATAAATCTTGGAACTGAAAGGGATAATGCCAGTGGCATAACTCAGAAGAAGAAAGAACAATACAAGATGGTTCGTCTAATACATAAGACTATAAAGTAACTAAACCAAGAGTCAAATAAAGACAGCATAAAAAAAAAAAACAAAACCTGAGAGTTGATTACAGAACTTTAGTACCAAGGGGGTGCAGAGGGGAAGAGTAAAGACAAAGAGAGAAGGAAGCATGATGGACTTTGGTAATGGACTATGGATAATTTGACAGTAGATGTACTACAGAGGTTGTTCTTGATGGGAATATCCAATTACATTAAATTAAAGAAAAAGAAAACTGGACAAAGTGACAAATTTCTACCTTAACTTTCCAGAAGAGCAAACTCAATATATAGTTCAAATGGAGTAAGAGAGAAGACCTAAAGTCAAAATTAAAGAGATTTGAATAATAATAAAAAAAATAACCTGATATAGTCACCCCTCCCTACAAAAAAAATACTAGAATCTTTATTTTCATGCATTTTAATAAGAATGTTTACAAGCAAACAAGGCTATTATTATATAGAATAGTGTTTTATTAGCTAGTTAGAAGTGCTTGTGAAAATGTACAGCACCATCATATAAGTATTTGTTGAATGAAAAAATATACAAATGTTAACAATGTAGCCTAGCACTTGAAGTTACCTATAGAAAAATTAAATATAAACTAGATTTTAAATAGATAGCAATGAAATTCATCTGTGAAGACAGACAGTATTAAGAAATCCTCAAAGGTCTAGTCACCATCCACTACTATCTAATAAACCCCGTCTACCTGACCCACATACTCTCCCATGCTATTCCACTCCAGTACCCACAATTCTGTTCTCATCAGAATCTACCTGTTTATTTTCATTTTGTTTTGATTGTTACTTTCCTTTATCTTCCACCTACAGAGAAACCATTCTGTATTTGGCTTTCTGTTTTTAACATTTCATTTAGCATAATCGCCTCAAGGAAGGGGGTAGATGGTAACCAGGCCTGGCTTGGGCATGGTATAGTACAAACAGTTATCAATATATGAACATCTTAAAGTTACATAGTGTCTGTAAACCAATGTTACCTCATTTTTCTCTACATATAGATATATAATCACTACCATACATACATACCATATATAACTGTGTAACATGTATAATATTTATACATGTGATATGTGACATATAATCATATGTGGTGTATATCGATAGATACATGTATGTATGTAGTATACATACAGAAAATTGTCCTGCTAAAATGAGAAATAGTGTTATAAAATAGGAAGCACCAGTAATGAATTCTGAAACATGTAGAGGAAACATAGTAATAAAATATTTAATAAAAAATATGAAATAAAGAGATGGTAAATGCCTCATACAACAAAATGTCCATTATTTAAAATGAAAATGCAAAAATAAATTATACTAATGAAATTAAAAAGGGTAGAGGATAGTTCTTTTAAAATCAACATTATAAAAAGATTGTAATAAGCAGTACTTATTTTCTTTACATAGAAATTATTTTTAAAGCTACTGATACAATTGAAATAATATATACCAAATAAGCATTTAATATTACCTTTATCAAGATCATAATATAAAACCATAACATTTTAACATACCATAATTAATCTAATACAAAAGTTTTCTATTACATTGAGAACTATTTATTAGGAAGTATACACATTTTTAAAAATTGGACTTACTGGAATGGAAATTTTTCTCAAATTACAATCCTTTTCCAGGAGCTCATATACATACTTCGTGATGATCTAGATAAGAAAGAAACAAAACATTTAAGATGCAATGCCATCCATTTCCATTACCAAAGTTCACATTAATTATTGTATTATTGCTTTGGATGAACATCTTTCTATCTTGGAATATGTTGCTACTAGAGGCTTTTCATCTTTACTTCCTGCTGCTGTGTACTCTAAAAGTGTGTTTTCTGACTTCAGTATATTAGAATGTTTCTTCTACAATTTTTCCAAAAGTATATATACTATAGCACAATTGCGACTCCTCTGAATGTTTAACCTATCTCTTCTATTCAGTGAGTAAAGGGAACTAGAGGTATTCTAAAGAGAAAAAGGAAATAATCAAGCAAAACCAGCAGATGGTAGACTGCTAACTAGAGGCAGAAATATGGCCCCCAAAGATGTCCAAATCCTAATTCTTGGAAACTGGGACTGTTAGCTTACAAGGTAAAAGAGACTGGCAGGTATAATCAAGGTAAGGACCTGAGATGGGGAGATAGTCTAGGATAATCTGGGTGGTTCCAATCTAATCATAAAAAATCCCTAGAAACAGAAGATTTCAGAACAAATGTGTGTCAGGGAGATGCAAAGTAAGAACTTGACTGGCCATTGCTAATTCTGAAGATGGAGAAATGAGATGAAATGCCAAGAAATATGATGCCTCTAGAAACTGGGAGTTTACAGTTACTGAGGAAATAAGACCTTAATTTACAACTGCAAGGAACTCAAGTCAAGTAAGTAGTAAACAGATTCTTCCTATAGTTAATATATACCAATTAATTTATATTTTAATATTATCTCTAACAATATCTAAAAATACAATTCAGAGGAGTCACAATTCTTCTATAATATATAATACGTATGGGGAAATTGTAGATGAAGCACTCTGGAAATACTGAAATCAGAAAATGTGCTTTTGAAGTACTGTTTTGAGAAAAAGAAAGCTTTTATATATGTTTTGTGAGTTTATGTAGAAGCTGGTCCTAAGTCTTAATACTAATGTCATAGTTATTCAAACCAGGAATAAAGCAGGAAGTAAACCAACACAGATGAAGATCCCCTTTAGAGAGTTGATTTTAGTATGGTGACAGTCATAACTGACTTCTGGTCTACAGAATCATCATATAGTAATATATTTATATTGCTTAAAACCACTATCTTTATGTCATTTTGTTTGAGTAGCAATAGAAAAAGACACAATTTCCATTAAATAAAACAAGGAGAATAATGAAAGAGATGCCTGGAATAAAAACAATTGTTCAGTAAGTTTTTTAAGCAGTCACTTTAAGGAGTATTTCTTCCTTTAATCATCTACACACAGTATCTCAGAGAATATTTTTAGCGGTAACAAAGTCAAATTTTATAAAATAAAATCAGGAGATACTCTTTTTTGTAGAAAATTAAGATTCCAATTACTTTGGTGTTATATTCTGTAATTTGTAATTTAAAACAGAATTCCTATCCTACTGTCTTTAGGAGTCCCAAATTAATTCTTTTATGTATATGTATTTCATTTTAGAACAAGAATATTAGAAATATGCTAGAAAAATGCCAGACAGATTTAACTTGTCTGGTAATGGGATTTCAAAAGTTACCACACTGTACTAGAGTGAGTATTGCCATATTTTAAAGTAGCAGTTAAAATTATGTTCATTTACATTTTACCAAAAGGTAACAGTACTATAAAAATGAAAGAATAAACCAAAAATACAGTTACACCAAAATACTTATGAAGTTACATAACAGCTTGCCACTTCTTAGAGCTTAAAACAAACGTTTACTATTAAAACTTCCTACTATCAAGGAAATTATAAAATGCACTTCCTTTAAAGCAATAATAAAACAAACTTCCTCAAACCCAAATGAATTAGACTACGCTAAATACTTGAGACATAATTTGAAAATTAAAAAATTATTTTGGCAATATGTATGCTTTATGTCAATATGAAACACAATACCAGAGTCCACTCTCAACATTCTTACCATAGGCTAATACAAACTAATTCAAAACTTAATTCACATTTGACTTTGAAATATTTTATAGGACAAGTGTCTGTTGTAGAATTCATAATATTATCAATATATACTCTATCTGCTAGCCATACGAGTGAGTATCTGGCACACTGAAGGTACTTCAAAATGTTACACAAATTCATCACATTTTCATCCTTCCTACATTTTTTGAGAAATACAAGTGTTTCAGATTTTCAAGAATTTTTTTCTATTTTTGAATCCAGGCTTAGTAAGACATTATTAAGGAGTCTTTGCATTTCACCTTACATATGGGCACAGTATGCATTTAGGGAAACCAACAAATAAAAACTTACTAAAATAAAAAAATCTTGGGCCCTCCCTGGTGGCACAGCAGGTTAAAGCACAGCAGTAAGAAGCTAAAGTCACTCCTGCCTGCCAGGGAGATGATCCACATGGTGCAGCAGACCTCTGCTGACCCGCTTGCTGCTCCCCTCTGTAGTGTACTTCCTCTATCTGCCTGTTCTGCTCCTCACTCTGTCTCTGATGAATTCTCTCACCACCCCTGCCCCTCTGGCCTGTACTCCAGTTCTGTATCACAATAAATTTTAAAAAAAGATCTTGTCCCAATGCACTTAACGTTCAAATACATGGAAGTTGCTATGTGGAAAAGAAAAGGCTAACGAGATCAAGTTGCTCTAAAGTAAAATCTTCATTTCAATAAGAAACATAGGAATTTCCAGTTTCTGTTCTGACATACAAAGAGCTTGGCAGCAGTCAATTCCCATCTTCACAAATAGGCACCAAAAAAAATGAACAAATTGAAAATCAACAACTCCTATTAGAGTCGTCAGAGATTTGATGTCATAGGGGAAACTGCTGCCTTAGAAACTGAGAGACTGACACAGAGAATCAGAGCTTACACAGTGCAAAAGTCCAGGAGCAGAAGTTATCAATTGAAGCCAGGAACACTTTCAATTATAATTAATTTGTTATCGGAGACTCAATACTGACTAGCTTAAAATAATTATGAGGTTTTCAGTCTTAAGTAGAAGAGTCCTCCTAAACTTTTATGAATGTTCCTCTATGAGCCACATTAGGTTACCACTATGAAGACTAAAGGAAAATCACCTGCTGTCTCCAGCAGAGGAAATGGAAAATTAACCCTTGAAATACACCAGAACTCTGTTTTGCCTAATCTAACCTCCCTGAAAAGGCAACTATTTTACCAACCCTTACTGACATGAAGGAAGGAATTGCCCAGCTGAGGCTCACTAAAAGTGAGCTAAATCATGGCACTATAGACATTTCCTTCCATCCCTTCCCATAGTGCTTCCACATCAATAAAACTCTTAACAACAGAATTTCCAAGTAAAGGAACAGCAGACTCATAAACTAATTAAGATCTCTAAAGGGGAGACCAAAGCAAAGACTTTAGAGTAGTCTTTCAATTTTGGATAGCAGAGCTACAGCAAATAGCAAATCTAACTGCTAGCCAGATGAACAGAAGACCTGACACTAAAAATTCACTTGCCCAAGTTCCTTTTACTCAATACATCATGTTCACTTTTTGGGGGAAAAAAACTGTAAAAGGTAAAAAGGAACAGTTCAAAGAGAGAAAGTATTAAACTAGATTAAGACATGGCAGAGAATTTAGAATGATCAGATTGGCATTAAAACAACCATGACTAATATGTTAAGATATTTATGGGGGAAAGTAGGCAACATAAAAAGAACAAATAAAATGGCAGAAATATGAAAACAATATCAAAATGAAGTACTAAATCAAAAACACTAAAATAAAATAAATAAAACTTTTGAAGGGCTTAACTATAGACTGGAGATGACCAAATAAAGAAAATATTTCAAGATAATATTAACTGAACTTCCAAAATTGAAAAGCAAGGAGAAAAATAAGAATGAAGAGATAGAAAATCTAGGACTTGTGGTACAGTTAACAGAAGTTTTAACATACGTACATATATACAAACAAAATTTAGCATATATGTATGGTTAAACTTTTGTAATTTGCTTTGAAAATATCAGGAGGAGGAGAAAGGAATGGAGAGCCATTTGAAATAATATGTGAGAATTACTTAAAACTAACAAAACTTCAAGTTTTGCTACCATGAACTCCAAAAAGGATGAATATAACAAAATCTACATTAAGTCATAACATTAAAACTACACAAAACCACTATGGGTGCTTTGGTGGTAGGAGAACTATGGTGACAACATCTGAGGGGGGAAATCCTATACTGTCAGTCAGAAAAAATTCACTTTATTAAAAAATTATAGAAAACCAAAGACAAAATCTATAAAGAAGCCTTCTGGTGAGGGGAAGATGGTGGAGGCATGGGAGAGAAGGTGGAACACTTTACTAACACAAGAAAAAGGTATGAACTACAGGTCAGTTTTCTCTTAGAAGCAATGCAAAGCAAAAAGAGAGTAAACCAAAATATTCAAAGTGTTGAAGAAAAAAAGAAAACACCAGTGTAGAATTCTGTATCCAATGAAGTTATTCTTCAGAAGTGAAAGAGAGCACAAGACTTTCTTAACCAAAGTTAAAAAGTTTTTGCAATCACACGTTCCAATAAAATGTTAACAGAAATTATTGGGAAGGAAATTCTATAGGTCAGAAATGTATATGTTCCTAGAGTGTTAACAAATAAAGGTAAAATAAATATTTTCCTTATTCTTAATTGACCTGAAAGGTGACAGTTTGTTAAAAAAAAAAAAAAGTCACAATATATTTGGTGGTTATAGCCTACAGATCAGTAAAATGAATGTCAGCATCATTATAAATTACAAGAGATAAGAACTGACAATGCTCCATCACAAAGTATTCATACTTGATTTTTGAATTTATTTTTTATTATTCATAGCACAAAGTGCTCATACTTATCCCTGAAGAAATGTAATTTAAAAGAAACACTGGAAAGAAAAAAATTACATCATCTTATAATTTTCCTGGATTTGTTTTAAGTAGTAGTTGTATAGCTAAAAATAATGGAGGAGATGGAAAAGTAATGAGAAGAACGTGT